AAGTAACTGTCTATAAGACACCATATCCATTTTAACCCCTCTTTTTATTCCTTCTATCGCATGCCAAGGTATAGCCCATAATGGTACTTTAAAATCACTTTTATAATATTTTCTCCAAATCCTAAGTAAAGAAATTCTTAAAATATGAGATTTAAAAGCCCAATCTATTTTTTTATTAAATATTAAATAGGCATGCCACCCATAAAGTAAATCCCATCCCTCTAAGTAAAGTATCTCAGAATTTGTCAAACCCTTTCTGTTATCTTAGAATACAGTGTCCATTGTCTTAAAACAGTACAGTATAGCTGAATATGATAGGGGTTGTGGATATTGGGATAGCTGCCCTGCACTTACTTGGGTTAAAGCCCCATACAGCCCCTGAGCATCAGAACAGACATCCATAGAATTTAATTCTTGATTTATAGCTGGGTCAATGGTGAGGAAAAGACTTATTAATACTCCTCTCTGACCTCAGGTTGAAGGAGATGGGATACTTAAATTCAAAGGTCCTCTATGCATCCAACGTTAAAGACATCTACATCAAAACATATACTGAAAGCTTTTCCCCCACCAATGTGTAGGGCTGGAAGAGTTTCCAGCCAATCTGCCCTTTACTTTTTCATCAGGTTTTTCAGCCAACAAATGCTTGCTTTTTTCATCAAACATTTTTAGAATTGTATCTTACAGAAGAGGTGAGCAGACTGTGGACAAATCTAGCATTTTCCCCCATCTTGAAAACCACAGGCTCTTTGGATGTAGAGAATAGCTATTAAACCAGTGATGCAAATGTGTTCCAGTGCCGTAGAGATGCATTGAGTTCTCCCCATACTTCTTTGGCAAGATAAATTGGATCCACTCCATACAAGAAGCAAATTTTTATGGATGGAGAGGGAGAGGGAGGCAGCCAACAGCTTATCCATGTGTCACCATGTGTAAGAATTCATCAATATTTTCCAGATTTAGAAAAGCTTGGATAGTATTATGTCTGTAGCAGGACAGAAAACATGGCATATCCAGTGGGGAAGGTCAGAAAGAGTTTTGTCAGAGGTGGGAAGGCAGGAAAAGAAAAGATGACACAGATATGTCTACCACTGTAGGTTCTATGCTTTGGATGATGATGATCACAATAGATTATTAGTGCACACAAATTTCACTTTGACATGCTAAGTATGAATAAATTATTTTAGGCTTTTTAATTTTAATAATTCTAGGCTTTATCATTTTAAAAGATTCATTTTAAATTTTATTTTAATTCATATTAATTTAGATTTTAATTGACTATGTTACTGCTGCCTAGTTTGCATGGCGTCTTTATTTTGTATTTTATTTTATTTCACTGCATAGGTTTTAATTTCAATTGCGTTTTAGTGAATTTTACAGTAAGCCCCAGACAGTTTTGACTATGGGGGGGGGGGAGGAGGAGGAGGAGGACATGCCAGCAGATTCTCAATCATCCAGGTGCTTTCTCAAAAGACAACTGGACTTTCTTGGTTTTTTCCTTGGAAATGTTTCACTTCTCATCCAAGAAGCTTCTTCAGTTCTTTCACTATTCATTCTCTCCCGATGTAACTTGGTTCTCAGCCTCCTCATCTCTAAAATTATCAGAATTGTATTTTTAAGCACCTTTCTTCTCAGAATGAAGAAGTTCAAGATAGCAAAGGCAGTGCTTATTATGTATGAATGATTAATAACTTCCCGACAAAGCCATGGCTTTCAGCTGAGGTACCGAGAGTTGCATCAGTTTGATATCTGAGAGGCCAACAGCCCATCTGCCCTTGACCAAGAATTGACATGGAAATATGTGGGGTCCTTTTGTAATTGCACGCCTCCCATCAAGATCAATTTTGTGCAAATCCACTTATTCTCTGCAAAACCTAAGTAAAGAAATACTTCTGGAGCTACATTTTATTTTGAAGCAGAGGAAGTTTTGGAACCACTGAGGGGAGGAAAGGAAAATATTCTGTAAGATTTAAAGGCACTCTGTGGGTGATTTTAACACACAATACACTTCACCTGACTACAGAATTATCTCATTTTCTGAACTCACACAATAAAATTGGGCTACTGCAATAACTACATTAAATGTGTTACAGGGATACAGCTATACTCTCCAATCCCTTCTAACCTAAACATAAAACATCTTCCTTTGGGATGGTTGGAATCATACATCACATCAAATCATCATGGGCTGTGTCTGGCATTGGCTTAGTGGGTGGTACAGATCCAGTTTGTAAGGCACATTTTGAGAACCTAACCAATGGTTGCTCATCAAAATATAGTTGAACAAGCCATGGCTTAGATCTATGTGCAAACCAGTAACCCCTGCTCACACATTTAGCTACCTATCATCTAGCAATTTCTAATTATGGGGAAATCCCTAAAAATACCTGGAGAATTTTAAGGAGCAGAATCGACCTCTTGGCAGTATATCTTGAGGAGCAGATTAATTTCAAGGCTAATTTCATTTTGGAGGTTGCAACATAAAGCACGGGGAGGAACGCACTGGTTCGTAACAATCTCATCTCTCTAAGTGTGTCTGTCTTTTGAAAGAAAGAAAAAAGAAACATAAGGCTCTTATCTCTTTTGTGTTTGCACAAGCTCAGCTGCCAATCTGAAAGGTTTTGAGTTTAATTATATTTCCCTTGACAAGCAGTGTCTGAAATTAAAGGTGAGAAGCACAGTGAAAAAGAAAAAAGAAAGAATAGCCTCTCTGCCTATTCTTTTCCCAACTGAGATTATTGTCTTTGAATGGAACATGTTGTGATGACAATGCCAACTGTTCCTGTTTGTAAGGACTTTTTTGGTAACTATCCAGTGAAAAATTTATTTTCTCCCGCCTTCAGATATTCCAAAATTTTCCAACTGCCCTAGAAACTCCTTCCACTCTTGTCAACCAGATCTTTGATTAGAGCTTATTTTTCCATAGTTTTTGCACCAGCTGCCAAGAAAATTTTTTTGCTCTAGTTTGGAGCATGAAGGGCTCAAGAGGAAACTCTCTCTCTATATATTTTGAAATATATAGATTGAAATGTACTAGTTGGCAAAGACTATCCTAGCAAGGAACAGCTTTTATAAACTTGCTGAGCTGGGTCTAGTGCCATACGTTTGTTGTTCTGGTACCACTGGAGGAACTTTCCCCCTAAATATAACGGGAAGATATAAATCAGCAGTTTATTATTCACATTAAGAGAAAGGTCACCTCCTCTGAATTTTGAACTTTTGAAACAATGAGGCCCTGTGGACAAGAGAAATAGTGGACCAAATTACAGATCAAGATGGCCTGCATCGAGGCAAGTGACACTACAAGCAACAAAAAGAGACCCATCATCTGGAAAGGAAGCCTTGTTATGGAAACCTACCTGGCAGAAGAGGAAAGCTAGAATAAGACTAAAAAATGAAAATTAAAATTTCTTAACTTGGATTAAAGGCAACCCAGAACTATGGACTGATATAAAGACTGAGATTATGAGTTTGAAGTAAAATGATGTTTTAGAGTTGGAGTGAATTAATAATTAATTGAATGTTAATTAATTAAGATGACTTGTTTGTTTTATAACATGGATGTTTAGCTATGATAATTAACTGGTTGAAATTTAAACTCTATTTAATGGATTGAAATGATTGAAGGTTTGATATTAATTTGTCAGCTCAAAGAGATCGATTATTTGAAGGATTAGATATGTATAGAATAGATTGATAAATATATACATTTAGACGTGTTTAGGATAGATTAATATTTTTGCTTAAAAATGAGATATTTTTATATAATGGATTAAAGACAATTTAGAATATTAAGAATGCTCCTTTTAGAATGTAAGATTTATTTCTATGAAAATTATGATAATTAACTGGAGACCTGAATTCTGTTTAATGGAATGACATGATTTAAGGTATGGTATTATCTTTCTAGCTTGAAGAGATGGATTAATTGATGGATTGGATAGGTACAGAATGGATTAACATTTTATTCTAAATAAAGGAGATTAATGGAAGAAGAAGTAAATAAGATCTTGATAAAACTAGGAAAGTAGAACATACGTGGAAGGGATATTTGAATTGAAAATGTTCTTATTTAAAGTTAATTTGATTATGGTATTGTAAAGTAATGAAGCTTAAAAACAGGTTCAGGTTGAATAAATTTAAGCTAGAATTGTAAATTTTAAATATACTATGCTATTTCAGGGAAAAAGAAAGGGAATATTCGATGTATTGATTGTATTAAGTATATATGTTTTGTTTTGGGATGTTTGACTACCCTAGCACCACGGTGTGCCCTGAATGTGTTGTTCTAAGAAATTAAAAAAACCAATAAAAATTGTTTTTTTAAAAAAAGAGAGAAAGGTCACCTCCTTAAATGTAAGCCAGTTAAAAGCTCATTGACTGGAAGACGAATTCATCATCTTTCTACTGCTTCTCTAGACTTCCAGCTACCTACCACCACTAGTTCCCTTGGTCTTTTTTTCTGAATAAGTTGCCATATGTCCAAACCAAACTGTGCCAGCTAGCAGGCATTTGTTATTTCTGTGAATGCCTGTAAAAGGCATATTCAGTTGAACCTGCCAGGACTTGAATGGTCCAGATTCCAGGGAGGAGAAAGCACTGCAAATATTGGGTAGACAGGCTGCATAACCTTAAGCGATAGGTTGAGAAACTGATCCCTGTACTTAGGAATCTGTCAAAAAGAAGAGGAATGATAAAGCTGGCTGAGCTGAGCTACACAGGCAGACTTCCAAAGAAAACACTGAGCTGCAGACTCCCACCATATTTATTTTCTCAAAATGCCACCGGGGTCCATGTGGAGCTTAGAAGCAGTCTGGAAAACAAAGATGATGTTCTGTTGCTCAGCTTGTCTTGTGATTGTGTGTGTGTGTGTATGTGTGTGGTCATCACTAAGTAATATTTAAAAATAATTAAATCAGGAAAGAATTTTGGCAAGCATCATGGGATGCCCTTGAACATCACAGGGTCTACCTTTGGTTTATTCTATTCTTCCTTCATAGGATTGTGGCCGCTTCTTGGTCCTTGCCCACCCCTCCACAGAGTTTCAGCAGAAAATCTGCGACTTCAGCATGGTGCTTGGTGAGAAAATATCCTTGAGTTGCTGCAGGGAAATTGCTGCTCTCTGCCAACTGTTGCTTTTACCAGCCCTATAGGGTCATTGTCAGGCCAGCTTTGCTGTAGTGGCTTCTCTTTCTCTGGCAATTGTATTATGTATGCTTCTCATGTCACTTCTAGTCTGCCTGCAAAATGGGCAATTTGTTCTTTTGCTGAAGCTAGTGTGGCCTTCCACTGGGATTGTAGTCTTTTTTCCATGCACTGGAATGGGAAAAAGTTGAAATAATAGAACTGGTAGTGTAGATGTATTCAATCCCTCCAAGGACCTTCTCTTTCTGGAATTAGGGTAGAAAGCAGTATTACATAGAGCCGTAGTTTCTCAGTGGTTAGATGCATTATGCCGGCTAACTCTGCCGATTGCCAGCAGTATGATCCTGACTGGCTCAAGGTTGATACAGCCTTCCATACTCCCAAGGTCAGTAAAATGAGGACACAGATTGTTGGGGGAAATATGCTAACCCTGTAAACTGCTTAGAGAGGGCTGTAAAGCATTATGAAGCAGTATAAACTGCTATTGCTATTGCTACATGCTTCATCCACTTACACATATTGGATAATGGCTCCAAAGTCTCTAAAGAGCCAGAATAGTGCAGTAATTCAAGGGCTGGACTGGTGATAGAGATACTGACATTCAATTTTTTTTATTCAGCTTTGGAGCTTAAATAGTAATGATGAGTTTCATGCTATCTCTTAGCCCAACCTGTCGCATAGAGTGGGGATATATTGAGGATAAAAATAAAGCAAGAACCCATCACCATATGCACTTCTTTGAACCCTTAGAGGAAATTAAGATAAATGCAAGGGCAAAATGCAACACCAGGTGTTTGAAGCATTTTATCACTCTCTGTAGCTATAAAGGTTCCTATAAGGTTCTACGATGTTAGTAGTCTCTGTTCTGAAGGTTAGAATATAAAAGATAATATACAGAATGTTAGGCAGTTCTTATTTATGGACTATGAATAAGGGACTGGGTGAAAATAGTTTAACTAGCAAGAAGTCTATTAGATACAGGCAGTCCTCACCTTATGACTACAACTGAGCCCACAATTTCCACTGCTAAGCAGTTGTTAAGTGAGTTTTGCCCCATTTTATGACTTTCTTGCCACTCTCGTTAAGAGAATCAATGTAGTTATTAAATTAGAAACACGGTTGTTAAATCAATCTGGATTCCCCATTGACTTTGTTTGTCAGAAGGTCACAAATGTGTTCACATGACCCCAGGACACTGCAACTGTCTTAAATATGAGCCAGTCACCAACAGTCCTAATTTTGATCATGTAACAATAGGGATGCTGCAACGGTCAGTTTGAAAAACAGTCATAAGACACTTTTTTTCAGTGTCATAACTTTGAACGGTTACTAAATGAATGGTTGCAAGTCAAGGACTACCTGTAATATAAGTTATCTTGCAGTGATTTTATTTATTTTCAGAAACACCTTTGAGTAGTGGTGGTTGATTTTAAACTCTCCCTGGGAAGGGTTGTGTTATCCTTGTGTTCAGCACATCAGAAAGACTACCTCTTCACGTTTGTGATGTTGCTTACTTTGATCAAATGGCAATGTTTGTTTCTGTGTCTAACCTGTCATGAAGCATCCTTGGTCAGAACCAGGTATATGGAAATCCCAACTTGCCCTGCAGCATCAGGACTGCAACTCCAAAAATTCCCAGCTGGATATTATTCTAGTTGAGGAGTTCTGGATGTTGCAATCTCATATATGTGGAGAATGTCACGTTGGAAAAAGATGTGAACCTAGCAAAGATGTGCTGCTAAGCCAAGTTTACTATTTATTGGGCATTGTGTGAAGCCAGCCATTCATTAAATATATAAGCACTAGGAAGGAATGTCATCAAAGCTCATAATAAATAATGAATCAGAACTTAAGAAGACCTAAGCCTTGTTTGTCTTTCTAATCCAGTATATCCCATTTCCACAGACGCCCGGCAGATGCCTCTAAAAATAATAGAATCATAGAACTGGAAAGGGCTATTCAGGTCATCAATTCCAATAGCCTGCTCAATGCAGGAATTAAACATCTGTGACAACTGGCTGTCTCACCTCTGCTTGAATACATCCAGTAAAGCAGAATCTACCATCTCTATTGATAATTTATTCTAATGTCAAACTACATTAAGGAGAGTTCCTAAGGTTCAACTGGAATCAGCCTTCTTGTAATTTAAATCCATTATTTCACATCTTCATTATTCTCCGGAATGAAAGAGAACATGTCTTCCCTTTCTTCTATGTGATATCCTTTTAGGAATTTCAACAATGCTGTCATATCTCCCATTTCTTTGGGTTTTTTTTCTCCAAATAACTTTGTTAAAGATTCTAAACAGAAAGCATAAAAACTAATGCAGATTACAAAAATATATAAGAAGAAAAATAGTGTAAAAAGAGAAAACAAAGGGTAGAAAGAAGCAACACCCCCTTTACCCTAACAAATAAAAACAATTTTACTAGTTCATCACCATCATTTCATACAATATATATATTTTCTTCCCCTCATAATTAATCTCTTAACTAAAAACAGAATCCAAAACCTTGATGGAATAAGCCTATAGTCCTTTCCTGTACTTTTAACTATTTTAATTTTAACTCCTTCAAACAAAGTTCTAAAGCTTGATTTCTGTTCATCTTTTTTTTTTTTTTTTGTCCCAAGACAAAATTTTCAAAACTTTAATGGGGCTTTTTTGTACATCCAGTAAGTAAAATTTGTCTTTTTTTTTTTTTTTTTGGTCACTTCTCAAAAATCCCTTCATGACTTTAAAAGATCTCTCTTGTACATCCAGGAAAATCACTTTTCTGGCTTAGTAATTATACATCTTCTTTAAGAAATGAAACAACACCTGGTTTCGTTTGTATATCCAGTAAATTTTTCTCCATGTCCTTCTCATTGCTTGTCATATTTAAATCCACATTCAAATTAATTGCAAACGTATCCAGTGTAGCTTGTTCTTTTGTAACTTCATTAACACATCATCTATCATATCAAATAATTTCAAAGACCAATATTCAAAAATATCCATCAAAGTTTTTGCTCCATTCTTTATTAACAAGACAAATTTATTATCCTCTAGCTCTCTCTAGTGTAAAATCTTCAAGGTCCCATTATCACATTTCTGCTTAAAGAACCCCAAACCATTACCATTTCCTACAGAAAGGATTCTTCTAATTAATTTAAAATTCACAGGAAGAATTCTTCCACTTAATTCAAAATTATAATTCCAAGTCCATCTGGACCTTGAATCTGTTGATAACTTTCCAAAATACTGTAAGAATCATTTTTCTGCTTAATCCAAAAAGTTATATTTTTAAAAAAACTTTAAAATTGTATTTAAAAATTCTTTCTGATGGGAGGTGACGCACTCATTGAGTTCAGTATAATTTGTCCTTCTGAAGGATTTTAATATTTCAAAGGCAATGAAATATATCCAAAGTGGTTAAGAAATGAAATTTAGTCAAGTTTTATGTCCTTAAAAAGGCCTTATTTTTGAGTGAGCAAAGATGGTTCCTCCGTTGACTTCCATTCACTCAACTCAGAAGCCAATTGTAAAATATTGATTCCTGCAGTCTATTCACAAAAATAGATAGTTAGATAACCTTTATTGTCATTTTTTACTGTGGGCACAATTTAGTTGCTTGCTCTCAAAGTATACACATACATAACACACATTTAAACATACTATATACAACTAAGGTGACCAACCGTCCTCCTTTAGGGAGGACAGTCCTCCTTTTGTAAGTTCTGTCCTCCCTCAAAAAGTGTCCTCCTTCATGTCCTCCTTTTTGATATTTGAAGACTAATCTGCAGGGCTTTTTTTTTCCCTCATAGAACACTCAGAACGGCGTTCCTGCACCTTTTTTGGATGGTTTTTTTTCAACTTTTGCATGAGCTGTGCTACTCCCACTATTGGCTTTCGAAAGCCAATAGGAATTGCTGCTGAGTGCACCAAAACACCTGGCTGGCAAACTTTGCACATGCAAGTTGTCTGTATTATTGTTGCAATTAATAAAATGTTTCTTTTATTTACGATATTTTTTTTCTTCAATTTATTTGTGTCCTCCTTTTTATTGTAAAAAAGTTGGTCACCTTAATACAACATATGTATAGACCAGTGGTTCTCAACCTTTCTAATGCCTTGACCCCATAATACAGTTACCCATGTTGTGGTGACCTCCAACCACTTATACATCACCGGGTGCCAGGGGCGTGGCCAAAGAAAAGGGGGAAAAATGGCGGACAGCCTTGTTTGGCGACCCCCATGAAATGGTCATTTGACCCCAAATGGGGTCCTGACCCACAGGTTGAGAACCACTGGTATAGACCTACACCCTTACATATAAGTAACATATAAATATTAATCACTGTTCATCTTGAATACATAATGGAAGGAGGAGTTGCTCTCTGGGACACATGGGCTATCTCAGGATCTCTTCTTTCTCCAGGGAGATTTTGGCACAGTTTTGCTGTGAGAGAGATGTTTATCTTATCGTAGCAGTCTCACTAGAAGTTCCATTTCTCTTTTCTCAAGATTAAATATAACTCATTCCTTCATTCTTTGCTCATAGGAGTTAATTTCTAGTTCTTGATCATCTTTACTGCCATTTTCTAAAGTCTATTCCAGTTTCCCTCAAACTTTCTTCAAAAATCCAATCTATCAATTTGCAATAGGATCTGACCAATGCAGAATTAAGTGGAACTATTATTTTCTGCCTGTGATTTGGAAACACTATAACTATGGATTCCATCTAAAATCATTGTCAAGTACAGGAAATCAGGAATCAAGGTGGTTCAAATAAATATAGGTTTATTGCATGCTAACATTCTCTAGAACAGGGTTTCCCAACCAGAGATGCTCGCATCCTGTGGGGTGCAAAAACTTGGGTTTTCAAAATTATAGTGTATATGTATAATTGGTTGGCATTATTTTGAACTTTTGTAAGAGTGAGAGAATATATCAC